CTCACAGACTCGGGGGCTCGGCAGGAGCCCGGGCAGGTTCTGGGGAGGTCTCTGCTCCGGCAGGTTCTGCTTTTCGCTCTGGTCTCGCTACTTGTGCCTGACTCTGCAGGGCCGGCACCCCGCCTGTGTAAAGCCGAGTGTGTTTGTTAGGTGGTCTCTTTCCCAGAAGGTCTTTCTACTAGTGAACCCTAGAATTTACCTGCCATCACTTCTGCCCATTGAGCCTACCCTGGCCTCCTGGGGAGTGCCCATTAGCTGAAGTGGACAGATGTTGTCCATCCAAGAGTCCCTGGAAGCCCAGAGCTCTCTGCCCGCTGCCCAGCCTGTTGCCTGTGAGGCAGACCCATTTTGAAGACTCCTCATCTGGCAGAATGGGGACATCTCACTGTCCTGGTCACCCACCTGATTCCTGGAGTCGAGCCCCGGGTTTGGGGTGTAACCTGATGATAGACGTACACAGCGGGAGTGTGCCCAGGGCCCCAGAGCTGGGCCGTAGGATTCCGCGACCTCAGCCCCCGTCTTAACCTTTCCCATCTTCAGTCTAACGGTTTGTCTCGGGTGTCCCACTGATCTCGGTTCTCTCTACCGGTCCCAGCTCAGATGTGTGTGCTGGCTGTTAGGGTTGGGAGGGGCTGTCTCTGAATGTCACTGTCTGACACACAGGCACCGTGGGTCTCTGACACCCATCTAGCCCCACTGCTTCAGGTTTCTGTGGATTGGATGAGTGCCCTGTTGGCCTACCTGTGACTGCTTGTTGGACCAAGCTGGTGCCAGGTTTGGAGCCCCTGCCTGGCTCCCGAAGGTGCTGGCTGGGCTGGCTGAGTGGTCGTCTCTGTGCCCGTTCTTGACTCAGTGCGCTGCCTCCCTTCCAAGCCATCTTGGCTGCTCGTGCCTTGGATCCTGTGGTCTTCCGTGAAAGCAGAGCCCTGTGGGACCTGTACCAGCAAGGTGGCATTTCGGACAGTCGGGTAAAGCCACCGGAGGGAGCGGATGTCGGCACTTTGCGTTTTATTCTTCCGTTGTTATTTCTGCTTTCCCAGACGCACAAGCAAGGGGCGGCCGTAGGTGCTCTCTGAGTTCGACCCCCACACGCTCCCTTCCCTTTCCCTTCTTGTTTTTCCACTAAGCCTTCTGAGTTGGTGAGCGTACCCGGTGCCCAGCATGAGTGCCATGGGCCATGACCCGCCACCCAAGTACACATCCTGATCTTGCGTCTCCCCACCTCTCGCCATGATCTTGGGTTCTCCTTTCCATACTTTTCTGAAAACTCCACTCTGGACTGAGTCTTATGGCCCAGGCTGAGTCTTACGGCAGTGTAGCCATTCCTCCTGTGCCCTTGGGAGGCCCTGGACCCGCCCCCAGCCATAGGACTGGCCACGAGACTCCCTGAGTCTTTACATCCTATCTGTGACATGGAGAAGATGCTGACTTGTGGGACGTGGCTTCCAGCAAGTTTGCTGAGAGGAGCCTGCAGGGGACCAGGCCCACGGGGCCTGTCAGTGGGCACAGCCACCTTCTGGCTCCCTAGGCTGACCCTCTGCGTCTCGCCCACCACACCAGCCACACTGCCCTGGCTGCCTGCGCTCGGCTCCTGGTCCTGTCACCATCACCCTGTGCTGGCTGTCTGCGCTTCTTACCGTGTTTTGGGTGCCTGATGGGCACTTGCTGGGTGTGGATGATGGCTGCCAAGGACCTTGCCTGAGGTGTGACCTCTGTAGGAATGCCTCCGCGCCCCGCCCTGCCATGAGCCCCTGCAGCAGGGCCACTCGTCAGCTGCTCTCGCCACTCAGATTCCATGAGTAGAATCAGTTGGAAGACCTCAAATAAGTGTGTGTAAGCACATGCGTGAGTACACACACTCAAACCACAGCCCAGAGGTGGCAGTGTGGTCCAGGGGCTGCCTCATGCCCTGTTTGGCAGCTGGCCAGTGAGGTGACAGACCTGTGGACCTCCGGGCCCACGTGAGCCCAGGGCATGGGTTTGTCTTGGATTCCTGCAAGTCCTGGAGCAGGGTCTTGGCTAGACAGGCCTTCTCCAAGCCTGGGCTGGCTACAACCTTCTCAGGTCCCTTGCCAGGGGAAGAAAAATTAGGAAAGTCTCCCAGTGGATCAGACAGGGCAATGAACGTCTGTTACCATGGCAACAACCCAGAGCTGCTCCTCACAGGCCCAGTGAGGGACGTGCAGTTCTCAGACCTGATCCCTGATTTCAGACCTGGACCTACATGTGGCCTTGGACCTCACTGTTGGTTTGCGACATGGGGCTCCTGACCCTGTCCATGCAGGTGAGCATAGCTTCGCTGTCCATCTGAAGAGGTATACTGGCCTGCTCCACCCGCCGCTGCCTCACTCATTCTGTGGCTCCGTGGCTTCCGTGAGGAGTCCCATTCCCTCTGGAGCATTTCAGAGCCACCCACAATATTATCATCACACCCTCCCAGATAAGTTCTCAAGTCCCTAGCATCCAGTGGCCACTCAGTGTCGGCTCCCCTGTTGCTCAGGTATGTGTGTATGTATGTATGTATATTTTCTCTTCTTGGTTGCCTAGAGTCAGAGACCAGACCAGACATGGCACTGCATTGACTGCTATGCCTCCTAAAGAAGAGGGGGACCCTCATCATGTCACAGGAGAACAATAGCAGGAGCCAAGCCCCGGGAGCCTTGGCCAGCCACTTGCCCACGTCCCCCACCTCTTGCCCACTTTCCAGCATCACCTGGCATACAGGCGTCTGAGTCTGCAGCGTGTACCGTAAATGGGAGCCTGGATTCCCGGGGTGGGATGGAGTCTGGGTTTTGTCTTTGGGTTTTTAGAAATCATTCTGTATCCTAAGGCAGGTGTGCACATGGCTTCCTCAAATTCCTGTTAGCTGCTTCATTGACCGGTGTCACTTTGATGCTTTTGTAGGTCAGAATGGCTGAACATAGGCAGCTCCACCTTGTTTGACTGAAAGGGGTGGTTTGATTTTTACAAGTGAAACGTGTATGGTATGGAGGTCGTGCTAGGGAGTAAGAACTGGGTGGAGGGGCTGGTATGTAGTGACCTGTCAATGAAGGGGGTGCAACCCAAGCCAGCATCTGCAGCCTGGGGTTCAAAGGCAGCACTGTGCCCTCGCCGAGTTCTGCCCGTGGGCCTGCCTCATTTTGTACGGCAGCTCTATCAAGACAGAACTTGATCCTGTACAGTTCAGCCCTCGGCGTAAGCAAGCTGTTGTTTCCAGGATGTTCCCAGAGGTGCTTCTGCAACCCTGGCTGGAGCACCCCGCATCCAAAATGCTGGTGGCGGACGTTTCAGACGTACTCTGGGTTTGGGATGTTTGTCTATGCATAATGAGGCATCTTGGGGATAGGACCCAAAACTCAGAGGAAATTCACTTGTTTCTTACACAGTTTACACACAGGGCCAGAAGGTAACTTCAAACAGGGTTTTGTCAAGAAGTATTTCTGTATAAACATGAAATAATCCTGCGTGTTTATGAGGGGTGGCTGGTGAGTGGATACACGTGTACCATGGTAGTGTATAGGTAATTAGGGTAATTAGCACCCCGCCTCCTTAACGTCCATCTTTGTGTTGCAAACCTTGGAACTGCTCCCAAGTTCTGCGTGGAATGTACACTAGGTTTCTGTGGGCTCCGGTCACCGCTGCACTGGGCAGCCCAGGACTTCCTCCCTGGGAGCCGTGCTCTGGCACCGACTCCCTCTGCCCCCACCCCACCCAGCCTCTCCTGGCAGATTCTCTGTTCTCTGCTGCTATGAACCAACATTTCAGCTTTCACGTGTGAGAACGAGTGCTGTTTGTCTTTGTGCCTGGCCATTGTCCTCCAAGTTGCTGCACAAGGCAGGATTTTGTTCTTTGAGGCTGGATGTTATTCTGTTGTGTGGATGCCACGTCCTCTGTCCGATATCTCACTTGATTCCCCCTCATGGCTCTTCAGATAGCGCTGCATTAACCACAGGGATGCAGGTTCCTTTGGATACCCACCCAGTGCGGGTGGTGGTTTCACAGGTGGTGGTTTGGTTTGGTTTGGTTTGCGTACCGTGTTCCCTGGTGGATGGAACTAATTGACATCTCGTCTTGTAACATTTTGAGTAATTTTGTGCATGAAACAAAAGTTTCATGGTGTAAAATTTTCCTCATCAGTGCTCGAAGTTTGGGGTTTTGGAGCCTGTCAGATTTTAGGTTTTTGGATTAGGAAACCTGCTCGACCTGTTCATTCTATCTTGAAACATTTTCATCACCCCAGAAAAGAAACTCTCTACCTTCAGTGTGCACCCCACCTCCCGGACCCCTCCTGGGGACCCACCAGTCTGCCTGCCTCTCCATGTTTTCCTCTTCTGGAAAGTTCACATGGATGTGGTCATCCGTGCCCAGCGCTGTCACTCGGTGAGGTTTGATGGTGTGTCCACCTTGTGGCCTGGACCTGTCGGGTGGGTGACAAGCCACCCTTGTTAGTGCATTCATTAGGTGGTGGACATGGACACACAGTGGTTTCCAATTTTTGGCTGTTAGGTTAGATGCTCTGTGAAATCCATGCAGGTTTCTGTTCTCTTGGGTGCTTCTACACTTGGTGGGGAGTTGCTAGGTCCCTGTTTCCTTTAAGGAAACTCCAGCAGCCGCACTTCACTTCCCACTGAGGTCTCTGCGTCTCTGCCAGCTTGTTCTTACCTGACTTTGGATAGTGTAATGAAGCTTTCCTGGCAGGATGAGATATGTCTGGAGGAGAGGAAGAGGGCTGTCATTCTGTCAGTGGCCTAGAGTGGCAGCTGAGGTCATTTTCAAAAGCTCCTGAAAGCCGATCAGGTGCATGCCTCTGATCCCAGAGACTCAGGAGGC